GCCCCCCCCCCCATTAGTCTGCCAAAGGCTCTAATGGCAAGTCTTTTCAAACACAAATGTCCTGAGCATGTAAGCACTGAATGGAGCTTCCTCTTCTAAGCCTTCTTTGCAGGACAGTCCCACCACCCATTTCACAGTTCTAATTTAATGGCTGGAGAGAATGGGCTTATAAACTCTCTCTCATCATACTTCCAAAGAAGCACTTCTATCACACATTACATCAATAACAGTAAGTAGAAGAAATCAATAGAATCCTAGTACAGCCAGGTCTGAAACAGACACTTTCAATCCTTTCTGAGCTAAACTCTCATTCATAAGTAATGTGGCCTTAGGCCTCTGGCAGGATCAAGCCAGGGCCAGGCCTTCAGTCAGCCATTTTGACTAAGCAGCGTGGCTTTTGCCTCTGAAAAGTTCAAGAGGCTCTTTGGTCCCCTGAGCAGCAATTTCACATCCGTTACATTCATTTGCTCCATTTCAGGTAGAAATAATCAAAGACAGCTTCTAAGAATCAAAAGTTCCATTCCACGTGCCCTTTCCAGAAAACAATCTAGTAAACCATGTGGTCATATCTTGCCTCCAGCTATCCAAAGAATAAAAATCCCATTCCATTTAACGGCTATAAGGTGGAGGTCACACAAACCTCCACTCTCCATATCTGTGGTTTGTTTCTCTAGTACCCCACTCCCAGATGCCCTAATGTGCTCGGCTGGGTTGACTAGAGAAACAGGTGCAACGATACGCATATGTGCACGAGCAAGAGTTTTACGATTGTCAGCATGGAGCAGGACCAGGCAGTATTTCCTTCTGTTGTACATGGGGTCACACCGGTTTTCCCGAAGACCTCCCCGGCTGGCTAGCTTTAGTCTTTGTATGTGCGCCTGGAGAAGTTTTAGAGTATGTTTCAATGGGACTCCTCTGGTATAGTCAAAGGTAAATCAAAGATTGTGTATACACCAGCATTTGCTTCTGTGGCAGGATGGTTTGGGTCGTTCTTCAATCTGATCTCACCAGTATTTGATGTAAGAGAAATTCTTCAAGGAGTTTGGTTTATAAGTAAACACTCTTCCTTAGGAGCCAGTGTCGATAAAGGCGTTTCTTTCTATATTTACATATTAGATTGTCTGTTTCATTGAGAGTTGGGGAATAGAAAGGAAAAGGGACTCCATTCAAGTCACTTTTTTCATCTGCTCGTGTAGTTTTACAAGGTTGAGTTAACCGTGTAGCCTCTGTGTATTTGTTACAACACCTCCCCTCCAACCTTCATTTCGATTGAGCATGCAAAGGAAATAGAACTTGAATATACAATAGTAATGTCCAATTTTGAGTTTTTCTGCTGCTTTTGATTGCATGCACATTCCACGGTGTTGTCAAAGCTGTAGCCTTCATTCAGCATTAACAAGTGAGCTTTCTCTTAGAAGCCAAAGCAATGAAGGAGCCACAAAGGCACCACCCTATCCAGGAGCAAACTGACATCTCTTGCAGGACTGTCAATTTCTATCTGGCAGGGAATTGGTTCCAATTTATGACAATGCTTTATATGTCAGAATAAACTTGATAAGGGTTTCAATTTTTCAGAAATAGATTGCCAGGCTTTTCTTTGGTGGTGCCTCAGGGTTTTCTTCTAAGTGGATTTGAACCACCAGCCTTATCATCCTGGTAAATAAAGGAGTCCAATGGTAAAGGGCTTTTTGACTTGAAGGTGCTCTCAGAGAGGAAGAAGATAATCTGCGGTCAAACTGCACAGGAAGTACAAGAATTTTTATTCTGGTCTTGACCCACAGTACCTCCACTCAAAATTTCCAAGTTTCCTCAACAGTTACATGGCCTTCCCCACACCTGGAATACAAGTTCTGAATCCTCCAGGCCAAAGTGGTTAACACATTTTTAATACAACTCATTGGCCAACAGCGTAAATGAGAAAATGACTTGTGCAACCTGCCTGTTAGGCAAGGCCTTTTGTTACCTCATCTCCACGAATGAATATACCTCTGAATATCTAGCATTGCTGACAGAAGACATAGGGTGCCTCTGTTAGAGAAAACATTAAGAGTAAAATTCAGAAGAAAGTGAATGCATGTATTTCTGTGTTTGTTATTCATTGAGAGTTTTTGACTTGCTAAAAGCTAGCTTAATGTATTTATACAATTTATAAAGATGTAACTGATTCTGGAGCTCTGCTCTTTACTGGGAACATATTTCATGTTATCGTAAGCACTGAAGAAAATTAAATCAATAAATCTACAACCCGTAATTTGAGAGACTCAATTTGAAGAAAAATACATTGTCATGGAGGGAGGCAGAAATCTTTTACTTGAGGAAGCCTTGTAAACAACCTGTCTTGTCTCTACTATCCCATGCTTTTCGGTGACAGCAAGGATTACATTTGTGCTATACAATTATCAGAGTGTTGTCATGACACCTCAAAAGAAGCAAAGGCCAGTGCCCCGTCTTTTTAAATGAAGCATATGCTCAAGTGGAAAGCAATGCAAATGAAGCTCTTTCTGCACTGTCTCTGTGCTTGTCCTTCTTCATGACAAGGCAGGGCTGCCCATTAGCAGTGGAGACTGGGCTTGCAGAAGCTGAGTGGACATTTCCTCATCCTGCCATTGAAGCTGTCCGGGACCACTGGCAAGCCAATTAACCTCACCGAGCTTCACCCTTCCATGTGTAAAAGGTTAATAGTGCAGCTTGTTTGCAAGCTGCCTGAAGCCTTCCATGAAGGGCACTACATGGAAAGACAGCATTGCTGTTGGACTAAGGGCATTGCATTTTTTAATTATAGGTTTGGTTGGATAGGTTATAGATTTTGGTTGTGGTTGAATGTTGCCCATTCTCCCTAGTTTCAACTAAAAAGATTAAGAGGTGATCTCACTCTAGTCTCATCTTCTAGAGTCTCCTAGAGGGTTAAGGGTATGGCAGAGGTGACAGATTAATGATGCATTCTTTAGTTAATTAAAACAATAACAACAAGAACAATGCATAGGCATCTCAGCAGCATAAGAGCGGTGGATGGCAATTTATTAGACTGAGTATTTCATTAGATGTTAACCTGATAATGCTGGCAAAGACTCATGAAAGAAAGGATGAGGTTTTTTTTCTCTATTTCTTTCCCCTGGTCCCCCAGTAACTCTTTTATCCTGCATGTAAACTTGGAGCATTAGAAATCGCTTTCTAATAAGATTTGCTTCAAAATGGTTTCTGAATATTTGGAAAAGTTATTATCATTTTTACTCTCGAATCCTGAAGCAAATGAATTTTCTTTTTATGTATATATCTAGCTTGTGGAGTTAAACTCATTGTTTTATTGTATTTGTTCTACTGGAAAATTTGAATATTACTATCCCCAGACCCAGTGTCATATATCTCACTTCTTTACAGATTTACGGAAAAATTTTGAGCAAGATCCACAAGGAAGAGAGGTTCCTATTGAAGGCATGATTGTCCTGCACTGCCGACCCCCAGAGGGAGTCCCTGCTGCCGAGGTAAGACGAGCATTTTGGATCAAACAAGATGAAGGGAGAAGGAGATGTCCTCTGTGTCAATATAAAGTCACAAAGAGACTTCATCAGGCATCTTGCCATCTGGGCCCAGTTACTAAAGATGGTGACAAAATTGTGAATGGAAAAAAAAAGGAAAACAACAACAAAACTAGCAAGGGAGTGAGGGTCCCACCTGCTGTTTTGTTTGCGCTCTTGCTTCCGTTGCCTCCGATCTTGTTGTGGGGGCACCTTGAGCTCTCTGATGTGCGCAGTGGCTCATGGATCACACCTGCACTTTATGAGTAGCATAGCCACATAAATGAGTACACAGGGAAGTCAGTCCCTACTTCTAAATTTCACTACTGTTTGCATTCACTCTTCATTCAACAGATTTTCTCTGAGTAGCTATTATGTTTTTCAGGCACTGTGCTGGCATTAGGAATATATAAGTTCTCAGATCTGTTTGTCCTCCTTCATAGTGAAGCATCTGGAGTTTGATGTTTGCTCATCTGTTGGCTTTTAGAACTTCTACCATACGATTCTAATTGTCATGGATAACACATTCTAGTTATCAGAGCCAAATCCAACCACTCACTGCCGTTAAGTCAATTCTGTTTCTTGGTGAGCTGGGAGGAAAGGGTAGCACTGCCCCTGTGGCCTGCTGAGACAGGAACGCTTCCCAGGAGTAGAACGCCTCCTCTTTGCCCCAAGGGTTCCTTAAATCTCTGAGAGGATGTTGGCGATAGACTGGACATGCCACTGATAGTGCAACCTTGTGAGAAAAGCAAGCCAACAAAGAAAGCACAACGGAGAGGGACAAGACATGTTTCATAGAATGATCGTTGAACTTATACATTTCGACTTTAGCAGTAACTAGGAGAGCTGTAACTCTTCCTTGGGAAGCTCAGAAGTCGTTTTCAGTGCAGTTATTTATTCACTGTTGAGCATTGATGTACAAAACCAGGGGCCCATGCTCTCATTTGAGCAAACCTTGCTACGGGACCTTATACCCAGGAGACGAAGAAAATAAAGGAGACGGAAAGAACGCACACACTTGCACATTTAGACAGAAACCATTGAAAACGCAAACGGTTCACAGAAATGAAGTAAATGGACCTGAAAATGAAAGTGAACACTCCATGCATGATATGAAATGATTAGAAAGGAAATGCTTATTTTTAGACTTTTATTTAACATGGAACAAGAAGTGATTTGATCTCATCGTGCTTGCTTCTTGTTTCCGACAAGGAGTGTGCTGGACTTTCCTGAGCAGGGTGGGAGGTAGCAGGAATTTGTCAATCTCACCTGTGACACCTGGGAGTCTGACAGAGGCGTCAGCAGTTCACTACAATGACTACCTGTCTCTCAACATTCAATTGACTGAGGTTTTGTGCATCAGAATATTCAGTCTGTGTCACACTTTGTGAAAAAAGTAGCTGGTGCATCCATGTGTGCCTCTGAGTCTGTGCTGGGCCTCCGTTGTCCACGTGGGTGGCAGGAGAGAGGAGTGACGTGGCAAAAAAGGTTATGCTTTTTATTAGGTTTATGCCTGTGGAAACCTGAAGTTTTATTGATGTCTACATGTCAAGTAATCAACTTTCATAATTGAATAAGAACTTAGATACTACATGACACAGCTATTCAAGAGGCATAGCAATTGATGCTCAGATCGATTGCCTACCAAAGGTCTCTTGTCCATTCCCAGGCCATCTCTATGCAAAGTTCTCCATGGGGCTCCCCAGAGCATTTGGAGTAAAATCCATTGTTCTTTTGAGACTTTACATGGCCCAACATAATCATCCTGCTTTGACCTCTCCCTTCATGCTTTGCTTCTCTATATTAGCCATGTTCTCAACCACAGGGTATTTGCATGTGATGGGCTGTCGGTGGGAATCGTCTTTCCCATCATTTACATTACTGCTTTATTCCCTCAGGACTTGGTCAAACATCACCTGCTCAGGGAAGTTTTTTTCTAGTCACTCTATTGAAAATATCTGTTCCTCATTCCACACCTGTACTTCCTAGAGTCTTTATCTACTTGTCCCTTATACTGAATTAAATACTGTGGTTACTGTGTATGTTTTCTATATGGGAATATTAGCAGTTCAGTGGTTTGAACTCAGTAGTAGGATTTTTGGTAATTTTGCTCATTTCCTTATGCCGATAACATAAAATAGTGTTCTTCCCATTGGCATTAAAAAATAAATGCTATGTGTTGAACATGAATTAAAACGTGTATTCCTGGTAGTGTTGAACAATAGTTGATGTTCTACCAGGACGGATTCCTGGTAAGTAATCCATAGTAAAAAAAAAGTATTAAGTCCATAAAACTTTTTTTTCCCTGGATACCAGCATGAAAATGAATAAAATACTCTCAGTTGGCTATTTGAAATTATGTATTAAATAGAGAGAATGAAGGAGGTTATGTTAGACAGGGTTCTCTAGAAAAACAAAACCAGGACACTAATAATTTTATTTATATTTATATAGATAGATGGATAGATAACACAAGAAATAAACAGATAATTAATCTATAAAGCAGTACAAATAGCTCAGTGCAACTCACTCCTGTGAGACAGCTAATATACTGGCAGTTGAAGTTCAAGTCTTGAGGGCTGCGGTAGTCCTCTGCAGAGCAATTCAGGCTATCCAGGAAACAGGCAGCAAACAGCAAGGCAGGTCACCAAAACTCAGCCAGATGACAGGATCCAACAGTCCCCAGCTCAAGTAGCGTGGCGAAGCAGGTCTTGAAGGAACCTCAAATTACAGCAACACAGTCCATGGGTTAGGTATCCGACAAGTAGTGTAGCTTGCAAATTGAGGCACAGACCCAGCAAGGCAGCAGCCGCACTCTGGTCTGATGATCAAAGAGCAAGAGACAAGAAAGGCGAGGCTCACCAGCCATTTATCTCCCCGCCCTTCAATTAATCCCACATGTGTTCATTAGCCATGTTGGCACAACAAACCTACCTATCACAGAGGTCAAAGGATATGGACTGGTAAGGTAATGGCCACATGAAAAAAATAAGAGTTCTCTAAATGGATATCTGAGTGTTCACATGTGTGCAAGCACATATGCACACTAACGCATCTCTCCAGAGAATGCAGGGGACTTTGAGAGTCTTCTGAGTTGTCATTGATGACATCTCTGTGGAGAAGGGACTGCTGCTGTGGTGGTGGTTATGTGCAATGGCAGCTGCTCCAACCGATAGCGGCCCTATGGACAGCAGGGCAAAACAACTGCACAACCCTGGCCTTCCTCACACTTGTTCCTGTGCCCGAGCCCACTGAAGCAGCCTCTGTGTCACTCCATCTTGTCAAGGGCCCTCTTTTTTGCCACCCCATTCACTTTCCCAAACCTGAAGTCCTTCTCCAGAAACCGGTGTCTCCTCACAATATGTCCAAAGTATGAAAGACAAAGTCTTGCCATCATTGCCTCTAAGGAGCACTCTGGCCTTAGTTTTTCTATAAAGATCAGTTTAGTCTTTTTATCAGTCCATGGTACTTTCAATATTCCTCTCCAGAGCCACAATTATAATGCATTTATTTTTCTATGGACATCCTTATTCAATGTCCAACTTTCACCTGCATATTAGGCAAATGAAAATACCTTGGCTTGGGTCAGGCACACCTTCCTCCTCAAAGAGACATCCTTGCTTGACAATCCTCTAAATAGGTCTTGTGTAGCAAATTTACTTAATTCAATACATCTTTTGATATCTTGACTGCTGTTTCCAGGGGTATTGATTGTGGATCCAAGTAAGAAAAAACCTGACAACTTCAACCTTTTCTCCATTTATCATGATGTGATCTCTTGGTCCTGTTGTGAAGAGTTTGGTCCTACATTCAGTTGTAATCCATCCTGAAAGTTAAAGTCCTTGATCGCCATCATCAAGTGCTTCAAGTCCTTCTCGCTTCAAGCAAGCAAGATTGTGTCATCTACAGACTGCAGGTTGTTCAAAAGCCTTCCTCCAATCCTGATGCTGCACTCTTCATATAATCCAGCTTCTTTGATGATTTGCTTGGCATATAGATTGAAAAATTATGGTGAGAGGATTAAACCCTGTTACACACCTTTCTTGATTTTAAACCATGCAGTATGCCCTTGTTCTATTTGCAAAACTGCCTCTTGGTCCATGTGCAAATTCTTCATCAGCACAATTACGTGTTCTAGAATTCCCATTCTCAAGATTATTACAGTTTAATATGATTGACATAGTTGAATGCCTTGGCACAGTCAATGAAACATAAATAAATATCTTTCTGGTATTCGTTGCTTCCATCTGATATCAGCAGTGATATCCCTTGTTCCACATCCTCTTCTGAATCCAGCCTGAACTTCTGGCAGTTCCTTGTCAATGTACCGCTAAAACTGTTGCTGGATGGCCTTAAGCAACATTTTACGTGTGTGCGATATCAATGATATTATTCTAAGAGCATTCTGTTGAGTCACCTTTCTTTGAAATGGGCAAAGTATGGATCTATTCCAGTCAGTTGGCCAAGTAGCTCTCTTCCAAAATTTCTGACATAGAAGAGCAAGTGCTTCCAGTGTTTCTTTAGCTTTCTGAAATATTTCAATGGGTATTCCTTCAATTCCTGGAGTCTTGTTTTGGGCTTATGTATGCAGTGCAATTTGAACTTCTTCCTTCAGCATCATTGGTTTTTTGCTTGTATGCTACCTCCTGAAATGGTGAACTGTCAACTAGTTCTTTTTGGTACAGTAACTCTCTTTATTCTCTGATGCTTCGGGCATCATTTGATATTTTACCTATATAGAATCTTTCACAATCGCAATTCAAGACTTGAATTTTTTCTTAAGCTCTTTCAGTTTCAGATATGCTAGGCATGTTCTTCACTTTTGGTTTTCTAATTCCAGATTTGGGTACATTTCCTTATAATATTTGGCTTTGTCTTCTCGAATTGCCCTTTGAAACGTCCTATTCAACTCCTTTCATTCTATTTCCTTTAGCTACGCTACAATTAAGAGCAAGTTTCAGAGTGTC